GAGAAATCCAAGACTGATAAGTGGATTCTGACGTTGTGCATCGGCAATCATGAGCTATACATGCGTAGAAGGAAGCCTGACTCGATCGAAACGCAATAGATGAAGATACAGGCGAAAAGAGGACGTGAATTGAAGGGGGCGCATTTACCATGGCGACGGAGAATCCCTGAATCCTTTGCAACGAAAGGATTTGGACTGACGTTTGCATTTGGTCTTAACTTATTGTCGTGTTCCACAGACAAGCTATTAACAACTGAAGCGATACAGCCGAGAACTATCTGGAAAAGTTCCGTGTTGAAATTTCCCATACAAAATCCGTGTTGGGGTGTCGAAAATGACACTACGGTTCTCCATACATACGGGACAATGGCTCATCCCGTTTTCCCTGTAACATGTCTGCTGTAGACCAGAGTTCTACCATCTATTTCTGGAAGCAATTGATGCTCAACAGGTGTATGTAGCCCCGAATCTAATTGTCAGATCGGGTGTCAGCCCAGATCCAGTTAAAGTTGCAGAGGAGACCAGGTACGGTTCCTCAGTCTCGACTGGTGCGGTGGGCTCGTGGGTGCTTTCGTGTAGTACCGAATGTGTTGTGATGGGTGATGCGTAAGATGTACCAAAGGAGAGCGCCGAAGACGCCGCTCAAAAGAAGAGAGGGGCAGTGTAATGCTTCGCTTATGTGACTACCTTACGTTTGACGTTCACTTTAGGGTTTGTCAGGCTCTTGTGCACGTGGGCTGGCCTTCGAGCCATGCCCAGGCCCATTTGCCCTGTCGTCTTCGGAATACGTGTATCCAGCTGTACTTACTGACTTCTTATACCGACTAGGAGATCGCGGGACGCTAAAATTGTAATAAAAGAACTGGAAGGGGATGGTGCCTAATGTGCACAACTACAATGTATATACATATTTCTCAGGAGATCCTGTGTCCTAAAACATAACTCACTTCTTACTCGGCCTAGGATATGTAGCATGTGAAACGAATAATATTCCAGCTTTTCCAGCGCATTTCTACTGCAAAGCCATTTTTGAAGTGACTTATTAAGCAACACTTTTCCAATTTAATTGTGCACCATTTAGTGAAGGAATCACCTGTCGGCATCCCTGAATTTTAGTCGCACTTTTATTATCTAAAAATACGACTATGTGAAGTAATTTATCTAACCTTACAGAATAAAATTTTTTGTTGGCGTCTTGTTTGACCTTTTGAACATTGCAAGGTCAGGAATGCGACATCATAATCATCTATGGGGTTCTGATCGTCTCTGTTGACGCCGTTTCTATTCGCACCGTGACTAGTATGCTAATACATATTTTTTCACAATAGCTTTCGCTTTGCATTTCATTCTCATCTACTTCTACTACTCTGTGGGTGGGATCGGTTGGCCTGGTTTTTGTTCCCTGTCTTTCCCGACTTGCTACGTCATTTTCACTAGTTTTTTTAAGCTTACATGCGTCACACACTCTTAAACCAACAACTTGGTTGTACTACTACTCCTTCATTTGTTATGCATTGGAATGCCTTTAACATCGTTTACAAATTCCCTTTAGTTTTATGGAAGACATTGAGTACTTTCCTCAAGAATTGCATATAAAACCGAAATGTCTGATCGCCCTAACGGGTCTCGATGTAGACAGGAAACCCTTTCACGCATCCGTGCTGAATGGCTTCTGTTCTAGCCTACGTAACGACCGCTATGCCTTGAGGTTCCGAAATCTTCCTCTGGATCATCCGTATTCAAAAGCTAAACCAAAGGTAGTTTCCTGGTAGTAGATCATGTAGGATTTATCTTCTAGCACTCATCGCAGTATGAGTGGTATCTTCCTAGAGGTCTGCTCAAAAGGCAATGGATGAAAAAACATCTTGAGGAGTTGCCGGCCGTTGTGGTTGTTTTCTTTGACCTCGAAGGAAACGACAGATGTTGGTCAGATAAAGTCAAGGAATGCTCACGCCGCGTCGAACTTGTACGGTGGGTAGAGTGTTTGAATATCATGATCGAATCTTTAGATCTAATCTTATTTCACGGGCCACGAAACTTGTTGTGACGTTATTGCAGGATAAGGCATCAAATGGTATTGGTGACAACGTTAATGCAACGGAAGTTTCACAGGAATTGTGCGATCAGTGCCAAATTGGCATTGAAAGTCTGTTTATTTTACAGCAATCTGAGCTCATGCTTAAGTACATTAAAAGGTGGGCTTCACACTTGTGGTTAATTACAAAACTTGAAAACACTTTGGTTCAAACAACTTTTCCTTCTCTTTAGATTAGAAACAGAACTTTACGGAATGGCCTGCAATTACTATCGTAATGCTGCGAAGCGCGTCAAAGCCCACAAATCCAGCCTTACCAAACCAACACAGCAGGTAGATAGCTTTTGGCGAACTGTGTTGGGAATAATGGCCAAAATATTTTACCTCCTTTAGTTACTCCTCGTTCGTCATATGTTCAAAATTGCATTTTTTGATGAGTTGAAACAAGAACCGGGTTTGGCCCTCAAGTAAGTGATCTCGTTGCCATGAATCATGAAGGGAATAATCGGAATTTTGTTTATTGGTTTGAATTTGTTAGTGCTGTCTTGATAGTTTGCGGTGTTTTTTTAAAGAATAGGTAAAGGTAAAGTCTTCTAATGCTTTGGAAGTGGACAAATGCCTCATTCTTAGGTAGATGAATTGATTACTCATGTGGGAACTTAGACTCCTCTTAGTTGCGGGAGGAAGTGTGTAATATTTTCCAATGATATCGACTAATTATACCTTCAGAACGTTCACTGCACCCTCATTCATTTTACCTAGACACTATCAGCAAGCTTATAACCACTTATTGGAACTCAAAATGCCCAATGCCCACCTCCTTGAATTCAAGGTCGTTGCAGGCTTTATAAACTTCAAGGTAGTTGTTAAGTTCACTGACTTAGAACATTCCTTTTTGATGAATATTAATTGCTATGCATCTTCACTTTTCATGAGAATGGGTGCACCAATTTAAATGAATACCTTGTCTAATCTCTTCTATTTTTTGTAGATTTGTCGTATCTCTTTTCAAACGCACCCTTCGGATTCAATATCACAGTTTCAGCGTCACATAGATTTCTTCAAAATGGCTGTCGGGATGCCTGAACTAGCCTACGAGCATGAGGCGTGGCTTTCTAAGCAGTAGGCTATTCACTTAACTCCTTCCCCTCGACTTTGGACTGATATTCACGTGTTGAATTGGGTTTCAATGTAATTTGTGGAGATCAGAAAGTGCCGGACTAAATTAATAAAGTAGCTCTTCCATGTGGCACTTCGATTAGTAAGATACTATACTAAATCAAATTGAAGTTGCTTTATGTAGCTTTGATTCCACTTTCTCCCTTGTTGAGAACTCGTGACCATCCATATTATTGCCTCTGAAGGTATGAGATATTCGGAGAGCTGCTTGATGAAGCAACGGAGTTCAGCTCTAAAGTTCCTATCGCTCAGCATCCGGGCCTATACTTCCACGAGGCAGGTCGCCACACCATGAATCGACGTGCCATCGCCGCCCGGCTTTGTGGGGCCAATGCGGGGTGTGCTCTCACCCAACCGAACGGTAACAGCATCGAAGGCAACTCTACTTTATCCTTGAACAAATTACCAACTCCATCAGTGGCTGCAAATATCGTTGGCGGAGCTGTTCGGGTCAGTCACACCTCCGATACTCCACCAAATGCAGTCGCCTCCGCCACAGCCAATTCTCTACCAGAGTTTTATGGGCAGCGCGCTTGGCGCAATGCCGGACAGACGGTAGAAACCACTGACCCAGTCAAGGAACGCGAGGGCATCTTGGCTCTTCAGGCCAAAGAAGCGCAAGTCGACCACTCCGTAGGTTCCATCCATTTGTCTCAAATGTCCCTTATCTCCTCAATGTGGAGTTTTTCTTATTCCTAATTGCTTATCGCGTAGGTTGATGTCTTCCCACCGCACTATGTGTTCTCATTAGGTAGCGTTGTATTATTGCCATTTTCGTATTCACTTATCCTTGGTCATATTGGACACTATTTCGTCATTATATGGCCCAGCAATGTAGGAACTGAGAAGCTAACTCGTTTGCTTAGGATCCCAACTTTGAAGTTTAGGGTTCTTCTTGAGTAATTTGCTTGACAATAACTGGAATTATATGTTATCTTTTCGTTTTATGTATTTCTATTTTGCAGAAATTAATAATTCCACTTTTTTCACGCGCATCGGTTCACTTTGATCGCTGTGGCGCCAAGCGGCTGCGAAATTATCCCAGTGAGTTTGATTAATCCTGCTGCGTTCCCATTTGTGATTGTTCATCTCGTTCTTTCTTGTGGTTGCTGCTACTATAACCGGAGATCATTAATTAATCTTCATGAGGTATGCTTAGCTTTCCATGTGGATTATATTCCATCACCAGCACAAAATCTGGCGTTCTGCTGCTCCAAATCTACTGGTGCCGTCTGAGGGTACTTATTAGCACAGGCTTACGTTATTTTGTTTTTTCGCATTAGTAGCAGCTTAAGCTACTTGGTAACTCTTTTAAGACAAGCCTTAATGTGTCGACCAGTCAATTTAAAGTTTCTTCGGAACGAATTATTCTCTGAGAATATTTGGTAATCCAGTTTTTCTTCCGCTTTTAGTCTTCCACATAGCTGAGGAGTTTTTTCTCCGAGGAGAATATGGAAGTGCTCTCGAGTAGGTTGCATTAAGTTTGAATGGAATAATTATCTGTAATGTACGCGACCATCTAACGAAAGCATTTCCTACTGCAAGCCATTATTCCAAGATCGTGGATGACTTTCGTCGCTCGGATTGGAATCACACGTCTGCTCACATCTGTTACCGCATTTTTCAGTAGGTCATTAAAACCTTTACTCACCCGATTTTTAGTCTATGATATTGCTTTACTTTTCATTCTTAGGTGTGCTTTGAAACTTCAAAACCACTCCCTTATTATATCTTCGTCTATGGAACTTCTTTCTAATCGTATCCTTTTAATTATTTGCGCGCCTTTGAAAGGAACTGGAAACTTCGGCTCTCCTCCTACTCCTCCTCGAAGCATAAGTTTCATTAACTTATGTTAAGTAACTAATGAAATTTATCAGCACACGACTCGTAATTTTTACGTTCTCCAAGTGTCGAAATTGTCTTTCCACTGCAGTAAATCTAATATTTTTTGTGCATGGCTAGCTGTTTTGCACAACATTATATGCTTTTGCATTTTCAACTGCCGTTTTCTGTTGCATTATTCTATTTATAAACCTGCTTTATTGGCCTATCTACGGGCCTGAATCGAGCATGGGATAGATCTTTTGCAAATGCATAACCATTAATCATAGTAGTGAAATTACCAAAGTAGGCGTTAAGTGGAGTTTACTCCAGATAATTTATCCTTGTTCTGCTGACAGGCTGGGTGTGCTCTTGGACCGCTGCTTGTGCTTTTGCACTGGCGATACAGAATTGTGTGCATTGCTCCCGTAATACAGGGTGGGTTGAGATGTGCTCCAGTGTGTGTGTAGAAGTGCATGGCGTTTACGTTTTTTTAGACTTTTTTCCAGCAACTCCAGTTCCAGACTCTCAAGCGACTGGGTGGAGAGTATGCCATTATCTGTGTCCTTCACCAGGGCATCCAAGTTCAGTCGACTGTTCTTTCTGGCCGCTCGTGTTTCAGCTAAAAATCGGGGCGAAAAGTGGCCACATCTCATATCCCTAGCCCGCTGCAAGTAGGTCAGCCTCTGCTCGAGCGGATTCATAACCCAGAGATTCTCGTTCGTTTCGTGTGCATAGTGGTAATGCTCAGAGTAGGCACCACAGCAGAGACAGGAGAGGACGTCTCGCAGCCAGTGAAGAAGACCTATGAAAGGCGGGTTTCGCAGGCCGCCGTGGCGATGACGCCTGCGTTTGCGTGGGTAATGCGTGCACATGTGGGGGCAGTCCCCTGCGTAAGTGGGGGGTAGGGAATGCGGGCAGAGTGATTGCCTGCCCACGCTCGAGATACACGTGGGAGGTGGAGGTGGGAGTTGGGGGGCGATCTGGGGTAATGTGTAAAATGTGTCGTAGGAAGACATTAGAGTCTTGGGGCCTAAATGGAAGGGCACGTGGTAGTCTGAATGGGCTCCGTTGGTGGAGGAGATTCCGATCACCTGCTCACCCTTTTGTCAATTTCAAATCTTAACAGGAGGTTTTATTTTAAGCGTAGAGCTTGAACGCATTTTAGATTTGAATGAGAAATCGATGATTGTTTGATGTCAATTCAGCTCGTGTGATTATGCTGATCACCTGCCACGCGTGAGGTGCGCGCAGCTATGTATAACATGGGAAAAATAATTTTTATAGACTGCTATTGCGTATTTTAATAGCTTAAAACGCTTGGTATTCGGGATTTAAGTAAAGGTGAGAAGGCTTGATTCTACATGCTATGGCCTTAGTTTGATGTGCTACGAATTTTTCCGATTTCTCCGTCTTTATATGCTAGTATTGGTTATATATCCATCAAGGGCTTCATCTGTGAGTCTTCATCTAGGTTAGAAGAGTACGTAGGTTCCTGCTTAGGAGTTAATTAATTGAGCATCAGTAGTTGAAGATTCCAATCGCAGAATTCATTTATACTCTTTTACGACTAAGCTCAACCCAAAAAGTCATAGATAGTCTAACCGTTGATGGGTTTGAGTCCTCATACCCCATGTACTCCTGTCCTTCCTTAACATCATTCATTTCCTCTAGACAGTACGCTTTCCCAAGATGAAAAGGAGGAAATCCACAAACTCATGTTTCCTGTAAGTTGCTGTCTTTCCGTGATTTGATGAATTTATTTGAAGCTTTGATCCTTTCTTTTATTCTGCAAACAAATTCTTTTTGCTGGTTCACAAAACTAGATGCATATTTACGTAATTAAATTCACTCAACAGATGTTGCACTTAAAAATGGTGTCTATTCCTGCAACAGAAAAATAGGATTCAAGTTGACTGTTCAAGAAGTGTTGCAACCTATCAACCACCCGTGGAACTCGGAATACCTACAGCTAAAGTCGTTGATCTCTCTCATCTTAAAAGCTGTGGTATGGTCCTTTGTCAGCATATAACTTCACACGAACTGGATATCGGTCAATTCACCGTTTTTAAATTCCATCTCCCCAGTTGAGGTGAAGGTGCAATTCGCAAAGCCGTTCTTCTCGATTGATGAAGCGGTAAAACTCTTGGTCTTCGTCAAGTGAGTTTTGTGTTTTGAGTGATTCCACACACTTCAAAACAATGCATAAGTTACTGTGACGGGCTCCTTAGATAAAAACTAGTTTGCTGGTTGGATGCATACCTCTTTCATCTTTGGCACATATTGTAAAGGTTTTTATGGAAGATCTGATTTTTAGCAACCCATTCTCATTCACTCCGCTTTGTGTTTTTGTTATTAAGTTTGAAATGTGGTTTATAGTTTAGTCGAGCCTATACTTGCATCGGCTCACTACCTTTCCTACCTAATGTAGGTCATTCACCCCCTTCACCCTGCATTTCGACGCGCTCTCAGTCAAGCTAAACCACGAGTCGCTCAATGACCGACAGATCGCTCTAACTGGTGACACAACTACTACCACTTCCTCCAGTGTCTGTGAGTGGACTCAACCATTCGATCTCACGGCCGAAGTTCATCTTCAACTCGTCGTTTTCACTATTGACCCCAACACACTTGGCTCTGCTGTTCAGGTACGGATTCTAAGTTCCTTTCCAGACGGTAAAGTTCCTTTCTTCAGTATCTTATTCATAAGTCAAGTCATCAATACTCACCAAGGCTTCTAAATATTTCACTTGTTCTTTTCTCCCAAAACAACTTTACTTTGCCCGACTAGCTTAATCCATTTAATTGGCTACACGCAAGTGCTTTTAAAAGGGCCCAATTGATTGCTAAGCCAAGAGTGGCTGTCAGGTAAACGATGGAAGCATTTCGGAATTAATGGGGATGCAATGTATTCCAAGCATTTACTAACACCACCGTGCTTTCCGCTTCAGTATAAGTTGTTCTATCCTGCCATGATGCAGTCGCTTTACCAAAGCTTGTTTGTTCTACTTAGGGGAAAGTGTATATCATTTTTTAGGTTTAAAAAAATTAACAGTAGTGTCCGACAGATGCCACGATCTTTGTTCCGTTTCCGGTACCCTAGGGAATGTATAAATTTGAAACGAAATTAATCATAAATATACTTGGGAAACGCTTCTCCTTCCTAATAATTATGCTTTTATCCAAGTCGTCTCCTCTGCCTCCCCATCGCTGCAGGAAACATTTCGCATCTGATTCTCGTATCGGCCGTCCAATTCCCCAGTTACGTTTTTGGCTTTGTAACTGGCTGACATTTGTTAAGCACCTTACTTCTAGCTGAGAAAACAGTCCAGTTGAGTGCACCGACTGTATGCGATGTTCTTCCACATTTTTATAGGTGGAGGCCATTCAGGTCGCTATCCCATATGCCGATGGTGGAAATCGACGTTACCACCTCTGTTGGTTTCCTTCCGCGGGGGTCCCTTTGCCCACATCCATTGTGATTCCTTGTAACTATATGAGCCAATTGGCGGAGGTCAAAGGTATCTTTGCATCTGCTGAAGATATCAACACCACTTTCAAATCAAGTTTTACTCCTCAATGGGAGCTATTTACTAACCAACTTTCGGCTGAGTAGGTTACGGTGACGCCGGTTGGTGACTTCACTCAAATGCGTTTTATGTTTAATGTGGCACTATGCTGTTTAGGATATTGCCGAAGTCGTCCAAGTTAGAGATGAGCCTCAGACATACCCCACCGCTGCTGTGCAACGAGAAGTATGTCATCTTGTGTCAAGTGATAAACACTGAATCAACAGAACTGAGCGATCTGACGTGAGTTTTAGGCGATTTCGTATTCTCCATACTATTTAAATGAGAACTGTCATCGAGCGTGAAATTTACTGCGTCACTGCAGGTTGTCGGCTATGCTAGCTGGTGGAGGAGCAAATGACCCTTCCATGGAAATTAGTCCCACCGCCCTGGAGGTGCCCAGACGTATGGGCACTGTGGCAGTAGGTCAATCTGCTGGCCGAGCCGTTGCCTCATCCCCTTCTACTTCCACTTCTATGGATGAGCTCTTCTCCCAGGCCTTTCTCTCTTCTTGCCTTCCACCCGGAGCCGACCTTGTCTGTCCAATTTTTGTTCATTGCCCCATTGTAGCTGGTGATCGGAGTCTTCGCGTCGATGCTCACTATACTATGCAGGCACAGCTTCCTACTGCTGGTGCGGTGTTCCTTTCGTGGAATAAGAACGGCTCTATCTGTGTTGCGTCTGCAGAGATGAAGACGAATAAAGATGATTTAGAAAAATCCACTCTGGTACGGTGTATTCAGTCGAAGCGTGTGCAGTTGTCGGTTACGCCACCCTTTGAAATCGCCTCTCGTGTTCTCTCGCTGAAGGTCTGACCTTAATCAACTTAATCTACTTATAACGCATTCAGTACTACCATTGATTGTTGCTTTTAATTTGGATTGAATTAGCATGAACCGATAACAACTGTGGTAGCTGGGAGACCATTTGTGCTCGAAATTGTTCTCACGAACTGTTCGCCTTGGTCGATTGACATTGAAAAGTCTGTCCTGAACCTTGTGAGTGGACGTATCGGTTTACTTTTTCTCTATGCACCTAAGAAAGGCATGCATTCTCATTCTTCCATTCTTTACCTGCCTTCCACGAATCTTCTGCTGTTGTTGCTGCTGTTTCTATAATTTGATTTTTTCAAATGTTAAGGTGAGTGGGAGAATCCCCTAGATCCCTAAGCCTATAACTGTATCTGTGGCTTTATCATTATCGCTGTAATAGCTGTCCCATCGGTCCAATTTCGGCTAGACATTGGAGTTGTCTCCCTAGTATTTTTTGCAATTACTTTTTAACATCAATTTATCGCGGCACCAGAGCACTGGTAACAATGACAGTTAATTTTTGTGTGAAACATGCTCATCTTTTAATTTGTGTCTTTGTCTCTCAGGCGGAACTATCTAGGCACTTAGTAAAGTATCTTTTAAACATTGTGTTTACAATAAGTAGTCAGGAATGCCAATTCACACCTCTTCATGTGGGAAATTTCTTGTTCATCTTTCCACTCACTTCCAATGACTAACACATGCTTTGTCCATGTGATACATCCTTTTGGTGTATTTTTCATACCTTGATAATTACCGGTGATGTTTCCCAATCCCCATTACATCATGGTACCACATTTCTATGGGTGTTAGGCTGGGAGCTTGAATTTACTGAATGACAGGTAATGTAAATGTTGCATGGACTTTGCGTCTGGTTAATTCATGCCTTGTAAATTCACGAATATACTTGGTTATTTTATGCAGTCCGTCTTTAAATAGGTTCGGAAAACTTGTTCACTAAGACCATTGAAAAGCCAAATTTTCCAAAGTTTCGCTTCCTCTCCTGCTCATATTTGACGACGGTCAGTTGTTTTGATTCACTTACCTTATGACTTTCATTTAAGGAGACGTAAGGAGACAGTGCGTTTAGGTCAGATGTTTTCACTGCAAGTAATAAATTTTATGCTCCATTCAACTCACGACTCCCAATTACGAGTAGACTTCAAGTGGTACCGAATTGTGTGTCCATATGCTAGAAATTCATCTCTCTGTTTCATTGGTTCAGTAAACACCTTGACATCTATCTTTAAGCTTTCCAATTGCTATTGAATCTCATTTTGTTGTTTTATTTATTCTACTTCAGCTGTATATTAGTATTGAATTTAGCATTAGGAACTTGGGGCAGGCATTCTACTTGTCCTTGAAAAAAACTTTAATTTGATCTACTCCTCATCCTTGGCCTATAACTTGTTCTTGTAGTGTTTG